TTGTGGTCTCTTCCAACTCTATGATTCTATGATTCTATGATTAATTGGGAGTGGGATCTAAACATGAAAAGGGTGGTTCAGCAATAGAATAAGTAGTCTGGAATGGTTATGAAATCTCTCTTCTTGGACATTTCCCCAAAAAATCTGAAGAGGGAGTGCTTTTGACAAAGATGTAGCTTTACTTAGGATAGCTGGCTGCTGGATTAGTTGATCCGCTAATACCATACACCTCACAAGGACTTCTAGGTTTGAAATCTCTCACCTTTCATCCACTGCAACAAGGTAGACATTGTCTGTGCCAATGCCCAAGAAAGCTGCTCCCTTCTGGATAGAGTAGTGACACTGAAAGAGAAGTCAGAAAAAGAGATCAGAGATATTACCAACTCAGAACTCTCCCATCAGCCCCACTTGTCCAGCATGACCGATGATAAGTGATAATAGGAGTCATATTCCAAAGCATCTAGAGGGCTAAAACTTTCCCCAAAAGTTGTTTCAGAAGAAGGCCATACCTCCTGTGATGTGAACACTGCCAGCTTTGGTATTGCCCAATTTCCCTTCTGCTTACAATCTGGGAAGTAGTGGTACCTGGCCACATTCATGGCATACATGTTGGAGATGGAGCCCCCTGCAGAGAAAAAAAGCCCCCAAATTTCAAACTCTCCCATATTAATGTTTATTTGTGTATATTTAATTTTGCATGAACACTGCAAACAGGTTGGATATATCCGGTGAGGAAGAAGGATATGAAAATATAAGACAAAAGTCTGAATCCAAGAACATAACAGCATCAAAAATACAGGCCAGAACTAATCTGAAGGCAGCAGAGTAGATAGAGTATAAAGAGTGAAAACATGGATTGTTTCCAGTCACCTACACATGATGATTTTAATGTTGAAAATCTCAAGATTAGGTAAGGATTTACAATATATGGTGAGATTCAATGATATTTTCAATGCAAAATGTTGTAGGCAGGTCAGGTAGTCTAAATCGTCTTCAGTTCAACACTGACAAGCTTATCGCATTGACTATTAAACTGGCTTACCTGAGTTGGCTTAAAATGTAAAACAGGTGGCATCCTTTTTATCAGAAGGATTTAGCTGCCAAAATTGCTGCTTGGGTCCATCCTGGGTCCATCTGCATTCACAAGGGCATTCATAAGGGTGCTCAGCACGTCTCTTTTCGAAGCTGGGAGTTTTCCAGTTTAAGGAAATAGCTGGAGCACCCCTGTGAGCAGGGCTGGACCTGGGCTGGACCTGGGTGGAGGATTCAGTGACTAAATCCTTCTGATAAGATCAGGATGCCACCTATTTTAAATTTTAAACTGGCTCAGGTAAGCCAGTTTAATAGTTAATGCGATAAACCCCTGAGTGCACAAGCATTCTTCAGTTTTAAAAACCTCTGAAAAAGAAGCATCTTTCTACAAAGTTTTTATGACCATCTGCCCCTACTTTTCCTCCCTGTCCTTTGTTTAGCTGAATTTTTTTTTAATAGCATGAACACCATCAGGATGGGATGGAGAAACACAGACTTTCAGTGTTGGGTTGCAGCAGGGTAAACAAAGCAATAAAGCTTGAGCTGTGTTCTGTCTAGCCAATTCTATCTTTCCTATGTGTCCTTGTCCAGGGGTGTTATTAGGAGGTGGAGGGGTGCAGATCACACCAGGTGGCATCCTAAAGGGGGGTGACACCACTGCTCCCAAAACATCTTCCTTTGGGCTGAAACAGGCTGTGGTGTTTGCCTGTGTCTCTTTAAAATGTGGTGTGAGCAAAGTGACGCTCAACAGAAGAAAAGAGAGGCCACAATTTTTTTAAATTTTGTATTTTAAAATTGAATTAAAAGATGTGAATAAAAATATGATAAAAAGGTTTGCTAGAACATGCTGAAGTGCTCTTTTTGGTGGTATAGGAACCTATCCTTATACTTTCCATGTTATTGCTACCTCTGGTACCACATTTTCTGTTACAGAAAGGCTGCTCACAGACACATTTACTTCATTGACTGAGGTATATCTGTAGAAACTTTGCAGAGATATGAACCCTAACAATATAGTAAGAAATGTCATCATGTGGGTCTAAGGACAGCTTACATACCGGGACAGAATATTCCGTCTCCTTTCTCCCATCCAAGCAGTTCCCGCAGCTTCTTCAGCACCACCTCTTCCATCAGGACAAAGACAGGGGCAATCTCATAAGTGTACCTACAACAGAAGAGCAGATGGGTGAGTATTTTTGACCATCACAACTTGAAATTGTAAGTCTTGCAAACTTCAGTAAGGAACAGCACCAAGTGTTTGAGTCAAGAGCAGCCTGTGAATCGTTGGAGGATCACTGACAGGCTTATGAAGAATTTAAGGTTTAAAATCAGGGTTTAAATCAAGTTTAAATGTTTAAAAATCAGGAGAATCAGTGGTCCTCC